TTTAGCCAGGCTTCTCAAGCCACTTCAGGGTGAAGTGCAATAAATCTGCAGGAAGTTTTTGGCAGGTGGATGACCTTAAATCCCCATCTGTAGTACATACCTGATGCATTCAGAGTGGAGGGGAAGGGCATTTTCTGGGGACAGGCATTTTCCACTCTAGTGTAAGAAAGCAGGTGGCGGTTGCATGGAGTAGGGGAGAGCATACAGTGCAGACACCAGCAGTCCATTCTCCCTCCTTTCTCCCTACCCTGCTTTATCACATCTCCACTCTTTCAATTGTGGAGAAATTACAGCTAAAGCTCCCCTCTCCCCCCCTACTCTGGCTACCTGAAATAACCTTCTGTTTTCATGCAAGCCTCAAAGTATTTTTTACAGCAGTTCTTCCTCCTGCCATTAAATATTTATATGAAAAGCCACATGGTTTTGCTGCAGCAGGATGGTGCAGTGCTGAGAACCTCTGTGAGCCAGATTTAAATAGCACTGAGCTGGCAGACACTCACAAAACACCTGGTTTGATTTCTCCCATTCCCCAACCTGCTGCAATGCTTCCTGGAGTGTCCCCAGTATAACATCCTCACCCCTGCAGCCCAGGCGCTCAGCAAGTGCCCAGTGTGTGACCAACAGAGCTCTGTGGGGAGAGAAGGCAGGCTGAGCTGCTCCTGTGCCCAGATGGGTTGCAGGTAGGTAATGAAATGGAGACCTGGGAATGGACCTGGAAATCAAGTGCTCGAGTGGTGTGATGAGCAGGGAGCTGCGCACAGGTGCCATCCACTGCAGGACAGGAAGCATCAGTGCACTGCTACTAAGGGTCGTCTTCTCTCATACCCCAACACCTTCCTTGCTCTGCTTTATTTTGGGGAGGTGAGGATGGTAGAAGGAGGATACTTGTCTCAGTGCTCTGCAGTTGCTGTAGCAACTGTGGTGTCTCTGGCAGCAGGAGCACATGCTTCCTACAGCCAGCATCAGTGTGAGCCTGCTACTTGCATGCAGATATTCTATTCCCTGCTGGGCAAAAAAGCCCCATGCCTGCCCCCCTGCCAGCAGCAATTAGAGACCAGGCTGTGCTGCCGAAGCAGCAGCAGTGGCAAAGGAGAAGTGTGCTGAGCTGGAGGGATGCTGCTGTGCCTGCCATCTCCCAGGCGATCTTCTGAGCACAAGTCAAGGCCTCCTCCAAAGCATCCGCTGCTTCTCTCTGGCTCCTCAGCAAGCAGAACCCTGCTTTACAGCTTCTGCTTTGGGGAAAAAAAATACGATGAGTCTTGATCAAAGCATTCTCAGCAGTAGAGGATCTGCGCAAGCTTTGATGAGTGACTTTCCTGATTAATGACTTCTAAATAATAGAGCTTTGTTCACAGGCTGGATTCATTTAATGTCCGTTTCCAGTCATTTTGTAGGGCTTTGCCTACTCAATTGAAAATCCCATTAATTCCCTGTTCCCACCAGCTTTGTAAATCACAAGCTGTGACCAAATATCCCTTCCTTTCCTTTGGGAAACCAAAGAGACAGAGCTCCTTGGGCCAATCCTCAAAACCATTTGCTCTCAAGGCTCCAAAACAAGGCATGTTTGGCCAGGGGTGTGCTCACACAGCTTCTGACGCCTACTAAAGCTGCCCCACTTGTGTGTCTCAGGTCATGGTAGTCCTCTGGCCCCATGCCACCAGACGCCTGCATCCCTTCAGAGCCCACCGATCTCTGCTCAGTCCTCTGTATGTGAAGCACCCCACCTCCCTGGCACAGGATTTTAGCCTCAGCTCAAGTAAAGCACACGTTTGCTGGCCTCTCTTCCATACCTAACAATTTACATCAGCTGGTAGAGATGGAGGAGAACAAAGCAAGAAGAGCTTCATAATTTCTCCCCAGCCATTTTGCTTGGGTTAAGTCTATTTTGGTTTTATTTGCAGAATTAAGCCCCAGGCTTTCATAAATGGGGAGACCTGCCTTGCTTTTCCAGAAGGTGCTGATCCAGCCTTTCCACCACTTGCTTTTGGGATGGCCAGAGCAGACAAGAGCTGCAGGTTAGGCTGGTCTTCATAAAATGGGAAGGCAGAGAGATGCTCCCACCTTAAGGCTGCTTGGAAAACTTGCTGGTGGGAATACAGACTTCCTGCCTTCTTCTGGTGCCCTGACAGAAGTGAGCAATGCTCAGGCGGGCCTGTTGTCACTCAGTATAGGGTTTTCCACCCCACTCATTGCTTGATGAGCTGGTTTTCTGGGCTGTAGCTGAAGCTTTATGTCCCCTGGGAAGCTTTCTTTAAGAGCAGGTTTGCAGCTGGGGAACGTTGCACTGCTATTTTCAGCCTGTGATGTTTTCCTTTTTTTTTTTCTTCAAAGCACAAGAACAAAAAAAAAAAAGAAAAGAAAAAAAAAGCAATAAAACAAAACAAAAAACCCCAACACTGTCAACAAGTCACAAAAGAGTGATCTCAGTCTAAAATACGAGTCCTGGCATGGGTTGGTATTTGACTCAAAAGCCACTTCCCATCTTTGGAGACTTGAAGTATGTTCCACTTCGTCATCCTGAAAGTCTTTAAACACTTACTAAAGCAGAGTTTATTTATCCACAGTTAGAACAGCCTATCTATTATCTTGAAGGCTGAATGCAGAAAGTTTTTACAGAAATTTATTGGTCTCATTCCTACCAGTCTGAACAGAAGTTTTCCACTGAGTCTGTCAAGATAGAAATGTCTCAATTCCAATTTCCTTCAGTCTTCAGCAAGACATCACATTAATTGTGTTAAAAAGCACTTTTATTAGTTACTGAGAAAGCAAGAGTCTGGCAACTCCTCTTGACCACTAGCTATTAACTTCTGTGAAGTCTCCTTTAACATTGGTTTGATCCAATGCAGTGGTTTTCTCCACCAGCAAGCTCAGCAGTGGCTGGAGCCAACGGGACTGACTCCAGATGAGGATTATTGGCATCAGGGCTCAAGGGTTCCTATTGCTGCCTGGGTAGATCTCGTCTGCCTCTCTGAAGGCTTGTTTGCATCTCTGTTGTTGGAAAAAAAAAAATGCAGAGGCAACTGAGAGCCAATAAATACATACTGAACAATTTCATCTACACTTGTGATGCTTTCAACAGGTCTCAGGCAGCCATCTCATAGCCTGAAGGAGCTTTGTTTCAGTCCAACTTTGTGCAGGGCTACGTTTCAGCCAACAACTCAGCACTGCAAGAATACAGCATCAGCTCTGCAAGGTGAGGAGAAACCTCAGCTCCTCCATCTGACCTTCACAGAGCGCTCTGACGACGCTCCCGCTGGCATTTTGCCACACTGGCACTACGTGGGCACGGACATTTTGTGGAACAAACTCTGATCTGTCTCATATTTGAGGATCTATGTAAGCAACCAGTCAACATGCAGGTGTGCTTTCAGACAGGAGGTGAAGCTGAAATCCCATTCGATCCACTATCACTTCAACCTGAACTCACCTGAAGAAAATACACTCTGCCAGGGTTGAGGATGGATATCTGATACTGCAAATCTTTCAACAGCCCGAAGTCAAAATAGAACTGAAGAGATTTTGGTTGGAAAATATGTTCTCCGCCTTCCTTGCTGTTGGAGCACATGGGAGGATTTGGAAGCTTTGTATCTACAAGGCAGTGAAAGATCAAGGCCTTGAGCACCAAGGTAGGTCTTCAGAAAGCACAGACCTTCATTTTAGGACTTCATTCAAGATTTTAGACTGGAAATGTAATAACTAAGGGCTGAGACAGGCCTGCTCGTGGCTTCTGCACAGACTCTTGCAGAGCCAGTGGAAGCATGTGCCGCAGGGAACTCATTTCACATCATTTATTCCAGTTGTGCTTTCAAGCACTGACCCACCCATCATTTCTTCAGACTGGATAGTATGAAGTGTTGAGGCAGGCTGATGACACCTGCTGTTTCCACGTGTCCATGCTTTAAAACTGAATTACTCACTGGCTGCACCATGGCTTGCCCTGACTTCTGCCTGGATGAAGAAGCGAACCAGGCTCCTAATTCCCATCATTCAGCCCTCTGGAGCTGCCACATCCAGCCCCAAGCACAGCCCTGCCACGTGCCCTTTGCACAGCTGGCAAGAGTCTCAATTAAGGGCCACTGGACCCGCTGTTTACAGGAAGTGCCGGCACAGAGCATGGAATTAGAAAGACCACAAAGAAATGAGGGATTATTTACTGGAGATTAAAGGATGTGGAAAAACCACAGGACAAATCAGTGGGGCCTAAGCAATGGCAGCTGCTATTTCAGTCTCCCAGCTGCTGGCATTTGCACAGGTCACTCCGCAGTGTGAGAATCTGGGAGGAATTCAGTGGTATGGCTGATACTTGCTTTGTTTTTGGGCCAGTAAAATGCACCAAAGCAGGTCCTAAGCCTGCTGAATAGAGAAGAGGGATATCCACTCCACTTTCTCCCTTCCTCGGCCAGCACCATGAGTCTTTCTTCCCCTCCAATGCAATTTCTGCTTTTGGGTTGCACACCCAGGCCAAGTTCAGTCCTGCCTACTGGCGTAGCCACAAGGACACATCCACGGATTATTCAAGACAAAGCACCTCCTTAAATCTGGAAACAAATGGGTAGGGGTGAGGTCTGACATCTCAAGACCTTCAGGACAGTGGAGGGAGCATGTGTTTCTTGGTAGGTTTTGAAATATTCAGAGGAGGGAAAAATCCTCGATGAAGGTTAATCCCAATCCAGTTCAGCCCAGTGCCGTTTGAGATAATTTCTTCTCCAGGCTTCTGTCTTCATGCACCCGCCCTTTTCCCTATGAACTATAAACCCACCAACACTGTCTCCATTGGAAAGCGATGCTGGCAGAAGTGACAGCCAAGGTGTCCAGAGAACACATGGCTGTCACAGGTGACTTCTGCAAAGATGTCCCAGAATAGCTGAAAAACAATGCAAATGTCACTTCATTTGTTTGAGCAGCCCACCCCCACTGAGATGCTCTCACCACCACTCCTTGGGGTGCATACCTTGAAGGGTGGCAGATGCAAATCAACCCTGTATGGCAGAGTGACATCTCCTGGGTCTTATTGCTAAGGGTCTGAGACTCGAATTGCAAATGTAGATCCACATCCCGAAAGCACAGGGAATTTCTGCAGCTTCAATAGCAGAGACACCCTGTTCAGGTATTTATGAGGCCATTTATTTTTTTGTGAGGTCTGCTTTTCAGCTAAATTAGGCTACCAAGATTTCAGTGGCTGCTTACAAGCTCTGAAATTTGGGGTGTTACTGGATCAAGCCTTGTGACAACAATCCCCACTCCTCCAGGTGCAGATGCACCATGGCTGCCCTCTCCGATACAGGATGGGCTCCAGGACCCCTGCCCCAACACGGGGCACTGATTCAGCCCTTTCTCATTGGGAACATGACCATGGACTCAAAACCTAGCCCTGCTCCTGTGGTTAGTGTGATGCTGCTGGGAATGACAGTAACACAGTGGTGGCTGGGAGGATGCTTGGTCAGGAGAGCAAGCAGGAGCTCAGCAGGGTTTTCTTTTTTCTTTTTTTTTTGTTCTGGCTGCAACAAAGAGAGAGAAAGTATGAATGAGCTTATTTTATAGCCTCAAAGGAATACCCAGCCTTTGTTAGCTTGACATATGCTGTCATGGTGAAGAAAATAAAAGCTTATTCTTGCCTGAATGGGCTGGCTGAAAACAAATGACCCCCAAAACCCTCTTATATATCATCATCATCATTTCCATCATCTATGTGCTATGTGCCTATGTGATCTACAACCCAGCCACTTCCAGACCAGGACCTGATCTGTTATTCACAACAGAAGGAAAGCAAAGACCCAGGTTTTCATCATTCTGGGGGAATCTGAAGGGCACTCTACCCCTCAAAGCACCAGCCTGCACCACGTCCCCATTGAAGACAAGGCAGAGGCCATCTCTCTAATGACACTAACACAGGAGTGGCTGGAGTATGCTCTTCTCTCTAGACTTTGCATGTAGAAAATGCTATCACACAGTCCAAAATTTCCAAGTGATTTCTAATGGAGGCTTGGACAACTGTGGTGAGCATCTCAGAGCCTGCAGAGTGGCCATGCTGAACAAATAGGACACTGTGGACAACAGCCTCTGGCTCTGGAATAACACACAGTAACGCACCGCCGATTACCGAGTTCAACAGCACTTTCTCTCCTTGGAGGACAGCTCTCAGATGCAGGCCATGCAGAGAAAATAACCATGCTGTAGCTGCTCAAGTGACTCTGTTTTAACCAGGATGTCCTGTGTTTCTTATGGGGCGTCAAGTGCCCTGTCTCAAGCGGTGATCCCACTCTGGAGCTGTATTTCTCTTTTCTTTACATCACTTTCTTCTGCCATCAAATCATGTAATTCGTCTTATTATCAAAGGGGCAAAATCAGCTTCAGGAGTTCAGGATCCATGAACCAGAGATCAGAGTCTGCGTGTGGTTCAGTGACACATGAAGGGAATGAAAAATAATGCCATTAATACAAACAGTCTGAACAGACACCACCCGCTTCTCCCCTTCCAACTCCCTGATCTCCCCCCACTCCAAAAAAAAAGCAAAAAAAAGAAAGTATCTGCAAAAAAAGCTGAGCTGGAGGCAGGTTTCTGCTCCAGGCTCACTCCCAACCTGCATAGGATGGGGCAGCCTGAAGCAGCAACGGATGGGATGGCAAGTGGCTGCAATTGCATTGCAGGCACCATTTTCTTTTTTGTTATTCCAATTGAATATATTATGGTGGGAAGTGAAAATGAGATTTGCCCTCATCTTATGGTTCTTTGTAAAAAGTTTTTGACCTTATAAGGGACGAGGGCACTTAAGCCAGAATGGCAAGAACCTCCTCCTGCTGCTGTACCACAGCGCTGCTGTGGGTCACACTTCAGCACCCAGCAGCTTGCAGCAGGGGAGCAGACTGGGGGGAAGAGGTCTCCTCTGACGTTTTCATAGAAACTGGCTCCAGTTGGCTCCTCCTGATGAGTTTTGATTTAAACTGCAGTTATAAGGCGCAATTAGAATCTGGGGCTGCTGTGCCAAGAGCTCAGATGTGAAGCATAACAACAACAACAAAAATCTGTCCTCCAAATCTGTGTTTTCCCAATATTAACTCTTCGTGTGCTGCCACCAGAGGGAAATCCAGGGCCATCCAAGGACAGTCCTGGTGAAAGGTTTGTCGGCATCACTAAATATTAACATTTATGGGCTTGACCATAACCACAGCTTTGTAGAGAGCTGCTGAGCCTTTCCTAGCACCAAGTGTGAGAGCAGAGGGAAGAGATGCCCTTTCCAAAGTGCTGGTGCTGGTTGGTATGGATGGAATTATCACTGCTTCCATACGCTGGGTAAGGAGGCAGATCTTTTCCTAAAATGGTTTGACAAAGTCTCTCCCTCATGTTTCTCACTACACTCAATAGTTAATTTTGCAAAGGGAAGCCTTTGGAGATGGCAATGCTGTTCAGACCTTCAGCCCATCTGGATAAAATTGCAATTCAAGGGAATTGCTGGTTCTTTATCTTCAGGCGGCATCATTGCGCAGTTAATTTCAGGTCTTCCAGTAAGCTGTAATGCATCTTTTAGCCTAAGAGCTCTTTTGCATGACACTGAAATAGACCCCAGTCTACATACATCTGCTGCCAAGATAAATGTATGGTTCAGCAGCAGTAAAGAGGATATAAAAGACTCCCACGTTACAAATGTAGGAGGCAGAGGATATTTTAGCATGACAGCGGTTACACTTTTGGCAGTTCTGCTATAATTAACTTTGTTTTCAGAGCCTTAAAATATTCCCTGTGCAGCAAAGACTGACATATCTGCTTTCAGAGGAATTGTTTCAGGGTCTGGGGATGGTGAACGGAGCTTGGGAGCATGGGGAAATGCAAAGAAGATGGAGTGAATGCCCTACATTTATAGGTGTTTTCTCACAAAATGCCCCCTGACATGGGCAAGCTTGCCTTCCACCAGATCAGGCTGTCCAGAATCCCATCCAGTTTGGCCTTGGGCAACAGCAGTGTGGCACCCACACTTTCTTTGGGCCTCACCAACCTCCAAGTAAAGAATTTATTCCTAACATCTAACCTAAACCTCACCTCTTTTAGTTTAAAGCCACTCCCCCTTGAAGGCCTTGATGATGTCTCCCCAGAGCCTTCTCTTCTCCAAGCTGAACACCCTCAGCTCCCCCAGCTTATCTTCACAGGAGAGGTGCTCCAGCCCTCTGAGCATCTTTGTGGTCCAACAGCTCCACATCCTTCTTGTCCTGGGGACCCCAGGCCTGGACGCAGTGCTCCAGATGGGGCCTCATGAGAGCAGAACAGAGGTAGACAATCCCCTCCCTGCCCTGCTGCCACCCCTCTGTTGATGCAGCCCAGGATGCAGTTGACCTTCTGGACTGCAAGAGCACACTGTTGCCTCACATCCAGCTTTTAGTCTACCAGGATCCCCAGGTCCTTCTCCACAGGCTTGCTCTCAAAGAGTTCTTTTCCCAGTCTGCATGCATATCTGTGATTGCCCCAACCCAAGTGCAACACCTTGCACTTGGCTTTGTTGAGCTTCATTAGGTTCTCATGTGCCTGCTTCCCAAACCTGTCCAGGTCCCTCTGAATGGCACATCTTCCTTCTGTTGTGTCAAATGCACCACCCAGCTTGCTCATGTACACTCGATCTCACTGTCTATGTCATCGATGGAGATGCTGAAGAGCACTGGTCTCAAGACAGAACCCTGGAGGACACCACTTGTCTCTGGCCTCCATGTGGACATCAAGCCATTGACCACAACCCTCTAGATGTGACCATCCAACAAACTAACCACTGAATAATAAAAAAATCTTTAACATTCTCACCCAAATACAGTATGCAAGAGCTTTGCTGGCTGCACCTGGCTTGGTTGAAGATGAGATGTCTAAGCACAACACAGCAGCCATTCTGGTAATGTATCTCCCCCATCAGACCAAGAGGAAGGATGGGTAACAAGGAATAATCTGGTTGGGGAAGGCACTGATGCTGCAGAGCTGGATGAGGGGCATTACCTGTACCAACAAGCACAGACCTGGGTTGAGCAAACTGGATCGAACGTAAAATGTTTTCAAGAGTGGGCCAGAACTAGAGAGGAACATTTGCTGAAGACTTTAAGAGAGCTGGAGGACTTTGGCTTCCATGTTTCTCATGCTATCTTGAACTCGAATGACTGACACAGGCACCAGGGTTGGTCAGAGGAGGGTGGTGTGCACCCAGCTCTCCCTGTTATCTCCTTTGAGGCCAGCACTGCCATCATTCAGAGCTGGTGTACAATGCTGGGCTCTGGTCTTCTCCAGAACATCACACTGGGAAACACAGGCAGCTGGCTGGGAGGCAGTTTGTGCCACAGAGGTACTTCAAGAGGTAATTAGTGGTGATGAATCAAACTTAATGCACTCTAGGGTGTCAGGAGTAGCAGTGAAAGCCTTGATCTAGGGACAGCATCACGTCTCAGGCTGCTGCCTGGCCCAACCTTCTCTCTGTGCTCTCCTGAGGCAAGGAGGGGTTGTCCTCTGTGTCCCTGAATGCCATCATTGTAGTGCACACACGTTCTACCCGTGATCACCATTTCCCTCTTTGCTCTGGCAGCTGAGCCCAAGAAAAAAGGATTGCTCTGAAATGTCAGGAGAGGTTTCCAGGTTTGGTTTCAGAATTTTTCACCCACTTTTGCCGTGACTCTTAACGGACGTGCTCTAACCACAGGCACTGCATGCTGCTTGCACAAAGTGCACGCAGAGAGATTGGCTCTAAAAATGTCTTGTGACTCAGTGTGCTCCCCTCTGGAGGCTCTTGGCCATACCCCGAGTGCTTGAGGGCTGCCGTATTTACTCTTGGCCCACTAAAAGGGACACAGGTATCATCAGGGAATCACCTCAGGGCCTGACATTTTGATGAGTTAACTTGTTAGCAAGGCTTTTGCAAGACCCTTGCCTAAACTGGGAGCCAATGTAGAGGAGCGGGAGCGAGGTGGTTTCCTGCTGCCTCTGCCCTTTCTCCTCACCCGCAGCAGCAAGGGGTGAAGTTGCTGTGTCTGCTCAGATCAGTCTGATCCATCGATTAGTGTGGGTAGGATAGATAAGCTGGGTCTGAATAGCAAAACCGTGCATGAACCAAGAAAATTTGGAGAAATAGCCCAGGATATGGACTTAGCATTGAACCCAAAAGGAACTTTGGCCAACGTCCTGCAGCAGGACTTCATGTGTCAGACCCATTCTGGAACCCTACACATTTCTGAGGGCATGGAGAGCCAAATTTAACAACAGGAAATCCAAACCACGTGTCTTAGTGACTCTCCATCCGTATGTATGGGCCCAGAAATCCAGCCCTGGTCCAGTGAGAAAAATACTTATTATCATTTAGACTCATTCGAAAAGCTGCTTGTGCTGAACTTGGACGGGGTCTCATATCAAGGATTTGCAGAGCATGTGACAGTATTACAGTTTCATGTTAATCTGTCCTCGTTGTGTGCTATGAAAAACAAGTCAAAACCCCTGCTTCCTAATCCCCAGGTTACTAACTGTGGGAAAACCATGTTGGCCACAGCCTTAGCAAGTGCTTAGAAGTGTCATGCTTTTGTATTTATTGCATAGCACGTTGTTCCTAACCTGAGTACCTGGAGCAGGCACCCCAGGCAGCAGGATACCAACACCCACTCCTCATTACTGGGGTGGATACCTCAGCAGCACAGCTCACCTCACCTCACCTTGGCCGTGGAGCACAGCAAATCCTTGTGCAATGAAACCACGCAGCAGGAATGATCCCGATCCATAATTGCTCCGAGCAGACCACAAAGCAGCTCCTGCTGGTGGAAGTATCCACTCAGAGGTAATAACCCGCTGAGTAACAGTGATGGCAGCAGATCCTGATAAAAGGCAGGGAATAAAAGAAAAAGCTCTCTCCATTATACAAAGAACGGATGCTTTCTGTTTGCTTCCTTTGCATTTAGGTTTCTGAAGGGAAGCTGAGGACAGATCAGCAGCGCATGCAGAAAAAGCAGAAGCATTGTTTTCCATGAGTGAGATCATCGGCAGGGAAATTATTGTCTCCTTTTAATCTTTGCTGGATTTCTACCCAGCCCCTCTCTTCAAGAGTCATGTCTGCATACAAGTGGTGAAAATCCTGCTCTGCGGGGCCTGGAATTGCTGCCTCCAGTCCCTGTTGCCTCTGGGCAGAGAGAGAACGTGGGGCAAAGCCAGGTTCTGGTTAGGACTGTGCCATCTCAGTGTCCATCTGAGACCTCTGCAATGGCCTCTCCAATCAGACACCTGGCAGCTCTGACGTGGCTGAGGAGGGGAGATGCTCCTAAAGCACCTTTCTGTCCTTCCTAGAGACACAGCAGAAAGAAGGAAAGCCTCCATGTTTGCAGTTTTGATGCAATCCCCCTCCTTGTGCTCCCACAAGGAGGACGTGAATTGAACAAATTGCAAGGTAGAGCAAAGAGAAACCACAGGAACAACAATGCCACCAGGATTGTAGTGGGATTGAAGGGCCCAGGTGACTGGCTAGGCACACCACAGGCCATGCTCTGGCCACACCAGCATCTGCCCTGCAAAATGCCTGAGCCTGAGCTTCGGGATGGCCATCTGCAGCCACGAGGTTGTGCACTGGAGACAGGCTCTGCAGGACTATAGGGGCTCAGCACTGCTCATTAAAGTGCCAGGGAAATGTGAATGAAGCAGATGAATGGATGAATGAATGAAGAGAGGAAGGATGAGTGAATGAATATTGCACGGCGCTGTGCCTTTCATCCCGGGAGTGCAGAGCTGCGGCTCAGCTGCTGTGCAGGAGCTGTATCTGTGCTCCCTGTCAGATGGTTTTCCAGGACTGTCAGCAGAGCCCTTCTGGAGGAAGCAAACATGGAGATGCGGCTTATGGACCCTCATTATTTGGAGCATAATGCTTCCCCTAACTAAATCCCCCTGATCCCCACATCATCAGAGGGACAACTCATTACTTTTGGAGTTGTTCTCATTCCTACTCTTCCGAACACTAACCCGTTCCTATGGCAATGGCATCCCAACCCTTTTCCAACCCCTGCCATCTTCTGTCAAGTCACGCTGCTGCAGAGCTGGGAGTGGCAGGCAGCAGGGACACCATGGTGCATTTTGGCACCAGCAAGGTTAAAGGCCTCCTGACAGCACAGCTTGCAACCAAATGCAGCACAGGGCATGCAGGCAGCTGTGGGGATTGTTAAAGATATTCAGGGCACGTTGAACTGAGATATCGTTTCCCAGATGTTTTATTGTGCTAAACGCAACATGCAATGGGCTGACCCCAATGGCTGGTGTGAATGTGAGCAGAGCCACTGGCAGGTTGCTACTGCTCCTTTCTGACCTGCCCAGCTCCTGCAGAAAGCAGCTTCTCCTGCAAAGAGCCGGGAAGACAGAGAGATGCATCAACTGCCAGAGTGGGAGCTCAGGGCATCTCCCCACATCCTCCAGGAACCGTGTCTGGGTCTGGCTGCTCTCCCAGTGCATTCCCTTTGGCTTCAAACACAGACTTTTCCCTGGCTCAAAGGACCTTGCTGCCAGTGGCCTGCAGTCATGCCTTATCCCAGTGTTTTTCACAAGCTGCCTTGAATTTCATGGTAACCCCGCAGAGGTATTGGCTTACAGCAAACACAAGCACCGCCCTGGATGAAGCATTCTGCTTGTCTTATCCAAATATTAACAAGCACCAAATGTAAGATGTGGGGCTTGCCTCCCACTCATCTGCAGACAATCTGGCCATGGGTTTTGCTGCTTGCAGGGCTGTACTTAAAGATATCCAGCTGAAGACAGGCAGAGAAGAGAGCTTTAATCCTGGGGATCACATAGGGGCACAACCCCTGCATGGGGATAACTCAGTTTTGGGGTTGCTACACTGGGATGGGTGACCCTGGTGTCACTGAACCTGGAATGCTTTGGGGGACGGGAATGTTTCCCTCAGTGCTGGGTGATGCTCTGGGGCAGGAGCAGAGCTGTGGGGCCCCTCTTTTTCTTCCATCTCCACCAGTGCACTGCAGAGCCAGCCCAGGAGCAGTGCTGCCTCCACCCTGGCTGGGACAAGGAGGTGGGGTAAAAAAAGAAAAAACTGAGACTTACCTCTGTGTTTTCTCCTGCCGGCCCCATCACTTTCCTCCAGTCTCATCATTCTCTTTCCCTTCAATCAAGGCCAATTTGCAAGAGGAGCAGCTTCCAGAGCCTGAGTGTAAAAGCCTTTAATTACTGTTATCTGGGAGGCTATGCCAAGCTCTCCTCTGGTGCCTTTTTCATACTTTCTGGAAGACAGTGCTCCAGGACCTGACAACCCCAACATGCTATTTGTCAAATTTGATTTTAAATCAGCACTCAGTTTAAAATGTAGCTTGTGAGGAGCAGCTTGCTGTGCAGAAACCCTGACAGCTGCATCTTTCCTTCTGCTTGTCAGCTGGACTTACATCACACATTCAACCAGCAGCAGAGGCGAGTGCAGCACTCAGGAAAGGACAGAGCACATTCAGAGAGACCAGGCTGACCGCTGTGCTGTGCACTGGCAGGAGAACATCCATCTGTCCTGCACAAGTCCCCAGCCCTCCCCTGCTGGGAGCATGCTCTCCATGGGGCTGCACGCTTAATAATGTGCAGTGGGGCATTCAGAATCAGCCACGGTTTGTATTTTCTCCTGCTTGGAAGAACATTAACACAGCCTCCTATGCAGACCGAGCCCTGCATTTGGTGTGCTCAGCACAGCAAGGACGAGAAGGAGGCTCATCACCCGCCCTACCACTCCGCAGGCAGGACATAGCACTGCACCATTTGACTGTCCTTAAACACAGCCTGAGCCAACATCTGGCACGCTGCAGACCCAACGACTTTGCTGTGTGGGCTCAGCAGACACTGAGACACACCAGAACGGATTCCAAAACGCTTCCAGATGGCCCGGGACAGCACACGTGGGATCCGTTCTATGGATGATGCCCACCAGAGCTACCCCTCTAATATTTCATCATTGGAACATCAGATGCGGAGGAGCAGAGCTGCAGAAGAGGGCTTGTGGGAGCCCCTGCCAGTGGGTGGCACTGTAAAACCAGCGGTGCGGAGCTGGAGGAGCTGCGCAGGCTGCACGACTCTGCTTGCACAGCTTCGGCAACTCAGGGCATTGGCACCGGGAATTGGTCCCCGTGGGGACACAGAAGATGCTGACTGGCAGAGAGGGGGCTGCAAAGCCTCATGTCCGAGCTGCCCACCTTCATGCTTACAGAAGCACCTCGCTACAGCCCCTTCCTGAGTGGAGAAGAGCCCTTCTGCCATAGATGGATCTGATCTTTGCCTCGCGCTGAGCACTTGGTAATTACAGTACCTCCCACTTAATTGGATTGTGCTTAATTGGGAAATCCACTTACCAGGATGTCACCTAGGGAAACAATTTAAGCTTGAAAACACTTAAGAGCGATGCCTGCTGCTTTATAGGGAAGGTAATTCTCCTGCAGGGAGATGCCTTCAGGTGGCTGAATCTCACTCCCTCTCACACCAGAATCCGGTGCTCCTGCCTGCTTGCTCACGTAACTGATTTCAGCCTTCTCCTTATGTAGGTTATGGTCAGGGATGGCCCCAGCTGCTGCAACCAGACTGCTGCTGCCACCTGCACACCCAGCATGTTCACCCCTTTCCTGGCTCAACACATGGCTTTCCTTTTGCAGCCAGGATCTTTTTGATAAGGATGACAGGCTTGACCGAGGTGCTTCTCCCAGCCATCACACAAAGTGGAATGAGGCAAGAGCTCTGGAGAGAACCGACATCCCTCACCATTAATCCTAATGCCAGTCTTCCTCCCATGTCTCTGACAATCCAATACATCAATACCCAAGTGGAGGGGGGAAGGGGAAATGGAAAGAGATGTTAAAAACAAAATGTTTAGTTAAACACGTAGGGATGCCTGGTTTCCTATGGGAAGAAGGTCTACATGACCACACCAAGTATTTGTGTGTGCACATGAACATCTGATAGATCCTGCTGACATTTGCTGAACCTGTTGACCATGTTTGGACAGAGAAGTGGCTTTTTCAAAGACAAAATATTCCCAAATCTTTTATAATAAATGCCAGACAGAGAGACCCTGTTAATCTCCAACCCCTCTGTAGCTCTCAGGGACACAGGGCCATACTTTCACAAGCCAAACCCCACAAACCACATTCCCTTGTTTACAGAGGGAGGCAGATTGCTCCAGGACCATCACTTCTCCAGGATTTTGGCATCTCCTTGCTTATCCCTTCCTCTATAATCTGACTACTTGTTGTTTTTTCTTTTAACTGGGTGAAAGCGTTTCTGCTCTCTCCTCTTCAAAAGGCACACCCTTGGATGGAGCCTGCGTTTGCTACCTAAACATCTGTGTTGTGTGCCAGCAATACAGCAAAACTCGTTGAGATGCTGCGTCGATGTTTTTGTTCTGCTCAGCCACTAGGAGCTGAGGGGAGCTGAGCTGAATGCTCTGGATCTGTAACAGTGATTGTGAGCAGGCTGAGAGAAAGCATGGGGGACTCCTGTAGCATCATTTGCCTTTCAGACACTAGAAAATGCGATAGCTTGGCATCAAATGAAGGATTTTTATGGCTGCACATGTTTTGAGTTTCCCTGAACACGCCAGCTTCTACACTAGCTACACTTGTTTCTTTTTAAGTGCTATAAAATATGCAGAGGCACTTGTTATGTATAGCGATGGTAGAAATGAGAGGTAAGTGCTGAAATGCTTCTCCATTTATTCCTTTCTTCTCCCAGGCCGTGCTGGGCGGACGCAATCCTCTGCTCCCTTTTAAGCTTCTCAGTCTCACAGCCCTCGGCGCTGTGCAGTCAGGTTCAGACCAGCACCTCTGCAATGGAAAATGAGGATTTATGAACACGGGGTTTTTAGTGCCATGCATGTTCAAACCCATCCATGCCTGCAGAGCAACTGCAGCTCTCTGCTGCCAGTATGAACAGGTAAATCCATGCAGGCTGTGTCCTACACCCACTGTACATATGTAAAGCATATTGTGCAACGAGAGGGAGGGTCATCAGACATTTGTAACAGCCCCAGACATCTTCAGATATAAAAGGAATAATTATTTTTAGAGCTGTTTACGTGATGCAGATTCGGTGTGCTTTTTCTGGTATAAGTTAAGCAAAATTGTTTAACAACTGTCAGTGGAACTCTTTCCAACCTGCAAAACAAACCATGGCATCCTGAAAGCTTTTTCGCACAATTATGGTTTATGTGAAGATGGTTTTTAAGACTTCCAGTGCCAAGGGCTCCTTTGCTCAGCATCCACTACATCAGCAGCTCCCACTGAGTGCTGCCTGCCTCATCCTTGGGGCAAGGAGAAGGCAGATGAGAGCCGTGGCTCTCCTGGTGAAGCCCTGGGACCTGAGCATCTGTCACTTGTTTTTGAAAAGGCTGGGATAACAAATTCTGTGTTTTCCAGTTACTGGCAGAATACCAAACAGTTAAGTCCTTACTTTATTATCACCCCTCCAGCAGCCACCAGGCACTGAAACAATGGTGAATGGAAACAGAGCTTGTTTGTGCTGCAAGTGAGGACAACGGTTTGGAAACCTGACTGGCACAACTGGGTTGATGCAGGGGTGGGGGCAGCCGGAGAGCAGTGCAGCTTTAGGCACTCCAGGAGCTCACATTTAATTAAAACAGGGAGGAGTTTGTCTCGGCAAGTTGTGAGACATTTACTTCCCAGCGTGACTAAGCCACCGTGTGTTATCTAACCCCTCCACAGGGATTTGCTGCCAGCTAACCACGTTCCTGCAGTCCAGGTGGGCTCTTTGAATCTGGTTTGGTGCTTTGGGGCAAGCCTGCTTGCCAGCCTACCTGCACCTCCACAATCCCAATCAGCCTTGCTCCAACAAGGCAACCCAGTGGGAGTTTTAATTGCAAAGGAGTATTCAAAAATCCTGACAAAATCCAAGGGTTCAACCAGAATGACAGGTTTTTATGGTTTTCTGCATCTCTCTATTTCCAGCAATACAAATAAAATCCTCCTCTTGCAAAGAAGCAGTGCTTCAACCCGGGGGCTCCCCACAGCTGAGAGCTGTCCTTAACTGCGGTAGGAAAGTCCTGGTGCTGGCTTTTCTTGCAGTAGTGATGCAAACATTGAGACAAATTTCTCCATAAATAGCTCGTTGCACACAATTCTTTCATTGTCTCAGCTTCCAGCTGAAGACAAGGAAGTTGTTCTGGCAGGAGCTGCACGTGTTGTAGCAAAAAGATGCTGCTCAGAGGGTGTGACTGAGCTACAACAACCCTCGGGCTTTCTGAACTGCTCCCCTCACCCTGCAGCTCTCCCTGCCCCAACGAAGGGCAACTGAGCTCAGAGGTCCAGATTCCAATTCCTTTTCCCACTTGCATTCCTAGGCTGAGAATTCTTTTTTTCCTTACTTTTCCAGCCCATTATGACTCACAAGCTGGGCTCACCCCAGCTGCCCAGCCCATTTCTGCATCTATGCTGGGTTTGGCTCATTTGTGGAAGCATCAGTGTGGCATGAGGGAGTAAGAAAACAGCCAGATCCTGCTGGCACTTCTGGAGGCTGTGGCTCATTCGCAGCCCCTGAGGACCCCAGGACCCCCCCAGCCCTAGTGCTGCTCCACACACCTCCATGGCTGATGTTCTTGCTGTTATGTGCTTTCACATGGATTTGGTGGCAGCCGAACAAACTGTTGCAGGCACATGGACACCATCCCTGGAGCAGGGAGACTCCTGGAGGATGGGCAGAAGCCGCTCATCTGGAAACGGAGTTAATTTGTAAAGGGAAATCCTGCTTGCTTTTCTAAATGAGGAAGATGTCAACGAAGTGCTACTCCAGCCAAGTGCACCAGCAGTACCAAATATACTGCTGAAAAAAAAGCGTTCGCTGTGTCGAAATGAAGCTGTGGTTCACTAAGCTAATAGGGAGAAAGCACACTGTAAATATACGGAGGAAGCGCATGCATGGCTTATTAATAGGCGCTTGCTGGGGACTGCAGGCTGCATGACAAGGCTCTCGCTGTGCTCCGGTGTCCTCGTGTGCCCCTGCTCCTGTGCTGAGCACCAATCTCTGCCATGCCACGGCACCCATCGGAACTGGCGGCTTTCAGGTGGCACCTGGGGCACAGAAAATGGTCTTTGTGTGGCTGATATTGGTGCCTCTGCCTGCGAGGCAGCCCTCCATCCATCCACAGCTGGTGGGAAAAGCATCATACAGAAGGAGCTCATGCCCCTTCTGCTGTTTTAGCACGGTCTGAACTCTGAGTGGAGCAGGAGTCAATGTAGTTAGCTTTATGCCCTGGCTCAGCCGTTCCCCAAACAGCTGCACAGACTTCTCTCCTATGCTTCTGCTGCTGAAATGGCTCCAGAGTTTTCCACCAAAAGCAGCCTCCCACTTATTTAAAGCTATCATAAACTGAGCCAGGTGTGTGCATTCCTACACAGCAAAGCCTTGCCCAGCATGAGGTGTTCTGAGTTCTTCCACCATGAAAGCTGCAACAGGAAAATGAACACCCTAGTTAAGGAACAGTATCCAGTCACTATTGTACTGTAGGCTTCTAAGCACCTTCACACATCGGATTGTTTTTTTTTTAGGCCATTGGGCTCTGGCTCAATGCCTGAAACCCACAGGTGCACACGCACAGACACAGATGCTAATGCTGTCTGCTAACCGATAGCTAACACACACTTTCTCCAGCCTATGATTGTCCCAAGGCTCACCTGTCCCCAACAAGCACCTCAGGGCTGTGTGGGCCAGCTGTCCCTCGGTGCAAACAACCTGCGCCAAGCAGGGTGCCAGTGCCACAGCGAGGCCACAAGCATCCTCTTGTGCAATGCATAGTGTCAGCAGTAACACAGAGCACTTGACCACAAAGCCCCAAGACATGCTTAATAGCTCTCTTGTGCTGTTTGCCCACTAATAACCTTAACTTCTTACTGCATTATGCTAGGGTTTAGGCAAAGCGGGGCTCCCAGCAGGACACTCTACAGACTTCCTTTCCCATGAAAAGAGACTTACGTCTTTGCATTTGTTCCTTGTGAGCAAATCCCATTCTTTCCAGGTAGAGAAGAGAGGAATTTGTTGGATTATAATTAAAGAGGTGTTGTTCTGATCAGGAAAGGGGCAGGAAGATTAATGCAGTACGTGACTGTGGTGCAGAAGGAAAAGGTGCTCTAATGGGAAAAGCCTTGTGAGAGGAGTCCTTTTCAACCCAGGCCATTCTATGATTCTATGATTCCCTGCACAGCACACCCCATATGGGAGCTTATTTTGCTTGGAGTTGGACAATGGAGCTGTGCAGTTCCTCTCTTACTTTATAGTGATGCTCAGCGAAGGAGAGTGGCTACAGGGAAGGGATACGTGCAGTCCTTGCATTAGGATGCCCCACATACCCAAGCATCAGGAAGGAGCTGCTGACAGGCCTCACAGTGCTCACATACAGAATGAAACATAAATATCTGCCAATACATAATAAAACTCTTCCCAGGGCTCCAGCACCATTCCCTTCAGAGCCCCAAAGAACTGCACAAACAGTAATTCAGAATTCCCAGCCCCTAGCTTTGCCAGCAGTGCTGAATTCACTGCAGTGTGGGAAAACAAGCCTTGCTTGATTAACAGACAACACAACTTCAGCAATGGGAGAGATCGATGATGAGATGTAAGCTGCAGCGTGAACCCTGGCCCCTCACTTCCAACAGAAGTTTCTTCAAGCCAAGACTGAGCTGGTGGTCCCTTCCCCTTCATGCAGACCACCCCTCTCTCGCTGTACACACAGGCAACAGAAGACCAACACACCCAGTTCATCTATTCAGTCCCAATGGCTGCAATCCAAATTGTTGCACAGGGATAGGGGCTGCAGGTAAGTGGGGAGCCCAGCATCACAGCAGACTATCCAGGAATCCCTGGAGAAAAGCCATGCATGAATCAAGACTTCTATCAAGACCTTGGCCCATGTTGCAGCCAAGATTACATAGCCATTACTGGGAACAAATCACTTGTTCTGCAGGAGGAATTTCAGTGTTGTAAAACCTTATACAGTCTCTCTGCAGAGCATGAGTAACACTTTGAGCATATCAGGGAGCTACTTCTCTTCAAAGACTGTCTAAAAAAGCAGTATTTAACCTAATGCACTCAGGTACACGCTGGGATTCTTTGCAACTCCCTTTAGTCACAATGCTTCAACTGATGATCTGCGTTTTGTCCCAGGATGAAAAGTGCTCTAAAAGAAAAAGGTCTGTGCACTTGCTTTTTTACCTGCCCATCAATGCCTGCTGGGAGGATTACAATGGCACGTCAAATTAGGGTCAGCACACAAGAATTCAGCACACATCAGCTTTAAGCATCTGCACAGGACTGAGCTCAGGCTGATGCAAAAGCTACAGGCAAAAGCCAGCAAGGTTTGCTTTCAAATAGATTGAGGCAGCTTTACAAGTGATCAGCACTTCACTGATGTGACCCACTGCTTCCCAGCACAATCTGAAGTCACATTGCTGGAGCCCGTGCCTTGGTGGAGTCACACGCACCACGGTGTCCTGGTGTGCTCAGCTAGGATGGGCATGCTGAGTTTGGGAGATGACATCTGCCATGCTGAGCCCTGACACCTTTTACCTGATGTCACCCAGCAGGACAGTGGCAAACTCTGGAATACAGCCCTGCTATGATCACGAACAAAAGAACAGGAATCAACAGCAATTGAAAATGAACTTAAAAGAGCTGCTCTTCTCCTCAACTAACATGCGTATCTGCCAGGATGTATGGTAAAAACACCTTCTCCAACCTGAGTGCTGGGTGAACGCAGTGAACTGTGCAGTAACACTTGTCACACACATGTGAGCACACTCAATGTTTTTCACCTTGTTGTTGGGGGGGCTCTAGCCATTAAAAGCCATTCTGCTGATCTAAGAAACGCATGAAACAGGTGGCGCTCAGGCAGTGGGACTCTGGCAAAGCATTCTCCTATTTGCCTGTCTCTCAGCACAAGGTTGAACACGTGCTGATATGCTGTGATGTCCCGATCTGTGGCTTGGTATCACCACAACGTCAGAAACCAGCAGCCAAGGATGAAGGGCAGGCCAGGCCACAACAGTCACAGCAGCACTGTGTGACACAGCTGTGGGATCAACATGGCCACAGTGCTGCTGCCATCAATGAAGTGATGCTTTCATTCTGGTGGCCAGCCATTGAAGAGCCAGCTGTGTTGCTTCCAACAGAAGGTTTTGATGGAGCCCTTGGACTTCGCTCCTTACCTTACTCTCTTAAAATCACAAAATCGTCTTTGTTGGAGAAAACCTTCAAGACCATCAAGACCAGCCATCAAGCAACCTTCGAAGTGTCATCATTAAACTACGCTCCTTAGTTCTTAACCCCTTTCACTTTACTATCCCTGCCTCCTAACAACTCGGTGAATGCTTTAGGACCCTCTGGGAGGAAAAACAAAATTCAACACAAAATCACATTTTTCCTTTAGGAAATTGGATCTATGCCTGCTCTGTTGCCACTGCTTTCAAAGCAGTGATGCCAGAGCCCTGGCCTGCAGTAGGACATCCGAGGGACACACAGCAGGCTGTCTGGACATCTGGAAAACCCAGCAAGGCTGCTGGATGTGCAGAGATCCTGCTGTAGAGAGAAGGGGAAGACAACCCAAATCTCAGACTCCCCCACATTTGTGCCAGCAACATCTGTGGTCTCCTGGTCCTGCAAGCATCCCCACGGTCTCCGAGCAGCTGGGGAAGTGCTTATGGAGCTGGCAGTCTTGCAGGGAGGGTAATTTACTTGTTCTTAATGGATTTTCCATACCTCTTGATATTTCCAGACCTGAGTCAGAAGAGAGGAGCAGTAACTCTGCTGGGGGACAGGAGGGCTTGAAGGGCTTTGCTGAAGCCTGTGGTTTTTGCAGTTTAGCACTGGGGACCAGCTCCATTTGTCCATTCATCACTGCAGTCTTTTCCCCAAAGAAAAGAGGGAAACGTGCTGGTTTGGACTTTTTGTGCTTCACTTTTGAAAGGGATTCTCTTCTGTAAAGCGAAAAGAGAGACCTGGAAACCTGCTGATTCCATTATATTTTCCTGGGGCTAATTTAGTTGTTGGAAATCGATGCAACCATGAAAAAGGCAGCCTGTGGGACTCTGTCAGAACACCTGATTCCTACTAAAGATCCAGGAATTATGGGGAGTTAAGTAATGGCATGGCAACAGGAAAAGTTCCCTGAAGATGATGTGACTTCAGAATCGTTTCTCTGCAACTGGGACCTCCTTCCCACCCAGGAGGTTTGGTGGAGGCTGGGAAGTGGAAGCTGAGCGTGGGCTGCTTCGCTCCCTGCTCATCACCTTTCCAGGACTCTGAGCCAAAACAAGTCTAAGCTAAAAATATAAAAATCCTCCAGGCCAAATTGGTGCTCTTTCTCTATTCCTGCTTTACCCTGAATAGTTATTTCCTATGAAGATGTGCTACCAGGACAGTCCCTGTCAGAGCCATCTGCAGTGTTCTCAGCAAGGCCTCACCGCCTGTTGCAGCCCATCAAAGCAGCCTCACCACCACCTTCATCTCACCTGCAGCAGGAGGCAGGACCTTGCAGGACACAGTGTCTGAACATGCATTGCTCCAGGAGCACCAGCAGTCAGCTGCATGGGAAATGGTTTCTCAGGGTAAGGCAGCTGCTGGCCACTGCTGCCAGGAGGGCAGGTGATGCTGGGATGTCTGCATGAATGGGCAGTGGAGACATGGGAAGGAAAGTTTCCTTTGGGTCATGTCTCTGCTCTCACCCTACCTGCACCTTGAATGTTCATCTCCTCCCTCAGTCAATGTCCCATCGCAGAAAACACTAATTGCATCTTCCTCCTATGATAAGCCAACAAACAGAGACTGGACTGGGGGCAAGGGACTTCCCTGCAGCCCCTGAGGGTCTCCTGTAAGAATAATGCACACAAATCCTGGCAGTTCCTGTGTGTTGAGCAGAGACTAAATGGGCTGCTGAGTTTTAGCAGATGCTGGCCAGAAAATAACCGTGAGAAAGGAATAAACCAATTAATTGCTGACCCACTGACAGCCAGCACCTCTCCCCCACCGTCGCCCACACAATAAAACCCGTCTCCAAGGCTCAAGCCGATTTAGGGTGACTGCGAAGAACCTGGAGGAGGAAAAAAGCTCTTTCTCACTCCAGCTAATAATATTTCCAGATAATCTGTTCAAGGCAGCACCCTTTGCAAAGTGGGAAAGCTTTTAAGAGCCGTTAACACCTTCCTTCAGACTTCCTCATCCTCCCCCAGACAAGCTGTGATTAATTACCCAATCCACCTTGATCCCCCTGGGAAACAGTGGTGGCTCTGGGTGTTTCAGGCAGATCTGCCAGGCACACAGAGTCCCTCTCTGCCTAAGCAGGGGATGAACGGCTTCCAACCACATGCTTACATTGGCAGGGTGGTGGATGGCAGGACGAAAGGTTAACAGAGGTCTAGGCAGCATTCGAGGCTTCCTTGCCTGGCTTCTACAGGGCTCTCGTCGTCATCTTCTTACACCTGAAATAATGCATGAGACATTTTCAAATAAGGTGCCAAAGAGCGAATGAAGAGGAAGAGAATGTCTGCCAGATGGTATAAGAGGACTTGGGAGTCATCTCCCCCAGGAGCTTCCCAGCCCCGGGTGTTGGTTAGCATCACACCTACACACTGCACTGTGGGCTGGGCTCAATTTTAATCTGCTTTTTATTTTTAGCTGTGATTTCAAGAAAGGGAAAAAAAACACCCATGAATCTCTTGCAGCTTCCTCAGGCCTTTGAGGAATAAGAGAGCTGAGGAGCAAGCAGGGCATTAATGACATCTCAAGGCAACAACCTGTGGCCACCCAAAATCCCATGTCATGCAGGAACAGAGGTGTTAGCTCTAGCATCCTGACCAGGCTCCAGTTGTCAGCAATTATCCTCTGCTGAGCCAGGAGGTGCAAGAATCATAGAATCACAGAATGTCTGCTGTAGGCACTGTTCTTCTCCCTCTCTTCCCACGAGGACTGCTGAATAGTTTTCCTAAGTGTCAGAAAACACTGTTGTACACGTGTCAAATACAAATGCTCTGAAAGTCCTTTTCCAGTTTTGTCCCATGCTTTCTCTTTAAGTGCCACCAACCCTAGTGTCTTCTTTGCCTTGCTTGTGTCCCTGCTCCAGCATATGTCCCCGTCCATGCGACTGCGTGCTCTTTTAATCCTGGATGCATAAAAATTAGAGAGGACAAGGTGCCCAGTGCTACTATCATGTATTGGCCTTTCAGTCCAAGGCCCGTGAACCATTCACATCTGGAACTGGTCTGATCAAGTAGCAGTGTAACTCCTCACCTGTTGGTTTTGCTTTGGCCCCTTTGTCCCCAGGATGTTCAGGCTGGAGCCACCCTGGCTTTAGCAGAACGCGTGCATCATGCTGGATCATGCTGGCTTCTACAACACTTCATCTCTACCCAGAAAGGTACCAACGATGCCTCAGCCCTTGAGTAGAGATCCCAGCTACTAACAGAAATCACAGAATCGTAGCACGGTTTGAGTTGGAAGGGACCAGATCATTTGTTCAAGTCCCAATGCCATGGACAGGAACAGCTCCTGCTAGCCCAGGTTGCCTCATCCCCATCCAGCCTGGCCTTGAACTCATCCAGGGACAGGGTATCCATGGCTCCTGTAGGCAAATAACTGATCATGAGACTGATATCAACGAAAGGTGAGATTGTGCCTCTGGACAGACTAAAGCTGTGCAGAATACTTCAGTAATTAATTGCTCTGGAAGCAAAATCTATTGTGGGAAAAGACGTCTTTTCACAGTGGCATTAACTTCTGTACAACCAGATCAGATAGGAAAATGGGACTTCTGCTCAATAGGGAATGCTGTCATTTCCAAGTGCGTTTGGAAATCAGCCCCCCAGCCCTCCCCCTGAAAAAAAAAATATTTGTAAACACGAAATATTGTTTCAGTAGTATCTTGTACAAGAAAATGAAATCCAAAATTAAACAAAAACACAAAACGCTGAAACAAACTGCAAAACCTAGAGCAACATGCTGGCAAAAGATTCAGTCAAATCATTGCCTTCTGCAAAATGCTTCTATTTTGGCAAAACCACATTTCTGGGGGTGCAAGCTGTTCTGCCGGAGGCTTTTGAACCTGCAGCAAGCTGTAATGGAGGCTGAGGTCAGACACTGTGTGGGAGGCAATGTTTAAAATGCTGCAGTTTGATTTCTCGTTTGAAACTCTACCAAAGGCAGTGGGGGGGCATTGGGAGCATGAAGCACTGCGTGGCACTCTGCTGTCCTGCAGCATCTCTGCTGGGGACTGGGCAGAGCGAGGCAGCCAGGAGGTGAGTTATGTGGGGAAGCCCCACTGGTTTTCCTCTTGAAGTGAGAATACCATTTAGGCAATGATTTTAAATCTACCTCATTAATTAAACACATGCTTAGTCACATGGCAGACACGCTTGCATTAGCAGCATATCTGTGCGCAGCACAGGAGGTTGCTGAGGATGCTGTGCAAAAAATGCACAAGTGACATGAGTCTGCAGCTCACAAGGCACAGGGCCAGGCTGCATGCCTGTGAAATCTCCTCTGGGACAGCAGAAGGGAGAAAGTTCCTCAGACTCCCTTGGAGGTCACATAGGCTTCCGTGTGTCTGCAGACACGGATGCAACAACATCCTCTTGCACAACCAAGCCTTCACTCCTTCCCTCACTGTTGAAACTACTGCAGAAATTCCGTTGGGAAACTCCTCCGGGATGTGTCAGCTGACGGGACAGCAATCCAGGCTGTGGACAGGGGTGCTCCATCCAAGCAGAGTGAAGGGACACCCATGGAATAAACCTCTGCCGTGGTTTGATGTTAGGAGCTGGCGATATGTCGCGTGACATGCTCAGAACCCACTGCAGATGACTCAACAGCAGTAACTGGATGGCAGATGGTATCATCCTCCCTGTACCAGGCAGCATGATTTGCTATGATTCACAATTTCCAGCTTTGTTAGGATTCACAAAGGAACCGAACAGAATCGCTCAGTTTTGCAACAGGAGCCCTCACGTGTTTAGATAAAGCACACGGCGTTGGTCTGAAGATCTCAGATCTGGGTTCACTTCTATTGCCACTCTCATGCAGACTCCTCCCTGAAGCGACAGGAGTGGTGGGAGGAGCAGGGTTGGCTGTGGCAGGAGAGATGAGACCCACGCTAGGTGAACACCGGCTGGGCACCAGCACCTCCTCCAACCCTGGCTTGAGCTGCAAGGTTCATCAGCGGGGTTTCTTTTTTATTATTTATTTGTATTGTTTTTATCATTTGGGTCTCGTACAATTACAGAGAACTTGGTTTTCAAAATGGTTTTCAATTAAAACCTTGGATCATCAGTATCAGTTTTAGTGGCTGCATCAAATAGAATCAGTTCCTGCGTCACCACGTGCTGTGGAGCAGCTGCTTCCACTGCTCTCCTTTCTTTGCAATACTCTCGTTGTAACCCGCTGCTCTCGTGCTGTATTCCTCCAGAAGCACTTGCTCTGGCCACTGCAAAATAAGGAACAGGGCTAGCTGGACCCTGGAGCAGATCCCATCTGGTTTTTACCTTAGATAAGAGAAACAGCTGTCTATGATGTGGCAGGATCTCAGGAGAGCTTTACAGCCATCCTGGGCAGCAAGCAGTAGCTACCAGCTTGATCCCGAACAGAGGCACTGAGTTTCCACAAGGAAGAGGAGACAACTCTGGGCTCAGGAACAGCATCCACATCTCACACAGCTACACACACCTCAGCCCAGATCCTATACTGACCTGAAGGGAAGCACCAGCAAAGCTGGGGAGATGGCAGCCCCATCTCCATCCATTCTAATGTCGTTACCATTTTTCTCTTTTAAGATGCACCACTGTCACCAAGTCTGTGGGTATGAAATCCCATTAAATATTTCATTTTAATCAATCGCTTTTGGTAAGTGCCTGTTGAGGAATTCATGGCAAAATCTTCTCTCTGACACAGAGATTTCAATTATGAAAGATGGCTAAAAATAAAAGGAAATTATACTGTTCAGACATCTCTGGAGGTGGAGACAGGAGGGGGAGCTGTCAAGGAGAGCCAGGGAAGAGATTCTGTTAGATGTACTGAAAGGCTACTTATTTTTACAGAAACAAAATGTCAAGAGGAAGCCTGACTTGAGTCTGCTGCTCACCTTCTCTATTCATAGTTCGGCCTGAAGTGTGTGGGATCTGAGCACCAGAATTAAAAGTCACAGCAATCTCTTTCCCTCACTGCAGGGAGTTGGACCACGCTCCTGAATCTTTCAGTGGCACATAAATATTTTTTTTAACATGCATTTTACTTTCTTTTTTAAAATGAAAAATCCCAGCCTGTGACACTACAAAGAATCATGTTTTTTTTTTTTTAATTTTTTTGTGTGTGTGTGTGGGAGCAGCTCAGGCTGATGACCCGGGGCTCACTGCACTGTTAGTAAGTCTAGAGGACATCCTGATGTTGGTATTACATTCAGATTTTGCAGTTAAAATGACCTGGCTGAGAGCAGAGCTTGTACCTTCAATCCTTCATGGACTCAGGTTCTCTTTACATGTCCTTGTGGTTTTTTTATCCAGCCAGATCCTCCAGCAATGACAGCCTTTACCCTGTGGAGTCTCCTTGCTGAGGATGATGTCAGGTTTGATACAAAGCATGCTCACATCACAACCTGTCCAGCTTCTCAAAAGACAAAAGCTTAAGGCTTTTTTTGTTGTTTGGATGCTTTAGTTAGCAGGGATATCTGCTGAGAACTGAGACTCAACCCCTGCCTGAGAACACAGCCAGACCTATGTGAATGAACATGGCTCTGGGCAGAGGCCTCCTTTTTAGGCAGGACCTCTGTGCACAGTGTACCCTGCCCAAGCCATGAAGAACATCAGCGTACTGAGAGGCCCTTGATGCAAAGCAGCAGGCATGTATCCATTTGCCTAATGAAAGCTGAAATCAGCTCAGGCCCTGATGCAGTTTGGCTTCAGAGCATGTTCTCAGTGGCCTTAAATGAGATCTTGCCCTCAGCACACGCCAGCTTCCTGCAAGGAAGTGTTGCGCAAATACCAATTTGCCAAACAAAATGTGGACAACCTCCCAGAAGACGATGTCCACAGGAAATTTCAGACACACGTTTGCATCATCCCTTTAATTAAATGATGCATGCTCACTCAGTGCAACAAGCTCCCATCCTTAATACAAATCAATTTTAATACTAAAAATAGAGAGAAAACATCAAGTTCTAGATGGGGAATGCTGGAGTTTAGGAAGTTTAATGTTCTATTCCTGTTTAGCACAAGTGCAGGAGTGCCTTCAGCACTGCATGCTCTCACTAAAACCACCACCAAGCACAGACAGGGCCCATGCAGCCTCTGATACCTCTTGTATCAGAAGTGCTGAGCCCTGAGAGTGTGCCATCTTAGTGCATGCACTTAAGCCCTGCAAGAGCTGGTGTGGGCAGCGTTGCATTTTTCTGATTGAGTTTAAAATGGACTGCAGAGAAAGACTGCGGAGTGGTGCC